GTATCTAGAGAGTGCATGCGAGACATTGAGGTTCTGCGTATCCGTATGCAGGTCTGCAGTTGTGTCCGAGTTATCTCCACTTACACGGGGAAGATTCAGGAACGAGATGCAGCTTACACACGAGTCTTCCTCTCAACCACCCGTAGATTGTTGTACTGAGGTACTTGTGTTTTCGTCAATATTACAGCTCAATCCTTCAGCATGTTATTGCTTCTCTCGAGACAGACTCGAGACCCATCGTTCTTCAAGGTCCTTGGCAAAGTGAGTTATCACAACTTACAACCGGTCTGGTATCAATATTCATTGTTAGAACCACAATGACCCCGAAGATAATTTATGACAGTCTAAGTCTTTGTGCGCGGTCCCGCCCGGATATGTCACAGTTTTCTCTCACCTCCAAACGGGTACGTAAACCGGCAAAGGGCTGAATGAGGAATCAGGCCATGGCTTGTGAGAAAAAAGCAAATACAGCTTATAGATAGTCTACACCTCGGTTAGGTTTACTGTAATGCAGGTACCAACGGTGGCTGACCTGCTTATTCATGTAAATGTCTTGGATTAAAAATTCTGACTCTGAAGAAAAATAGAAATATTACTCTGTTGCAACCTTACTTTCCTTCAAAGTTTTTGAGGTTTTGCTTCACTGAAGAGAGGTCCACCTCAACTTGATGCCCACGGCGGGACGAGCGTTGATGAAACAGCGGCCCGTCTACCCCTGCAACCGTTGAGAAAGGTGGGAATGGCCTTGTAAATCCCCTCTCTCACTCACTACTTTTCTCTCATCAACAATAGCTGCTCTAAGCTATGATGGACCTTTTGTCACCGAGACCTTAACCCGATCTCATATAGCCCACCCCAACCCTCCCTAATCAACACGAAACCAGATCCTGCAGCAATGCAAGATCACAACTCAACTGCCGAATTCCCTGTTTTACAAAATGCTGACCACCTTCTCCCCCGTATGATAACACTACCAGTCACATAACCCCTGTCTCGCAAGAATATCTTACCCAGGAAACCCTTGCTAAAGTTCCCGCGAATATCACATATCACCTACATGCATTTCCTTCTCTGACCGAGTTCCATGCTGATACTGCGATCTTTTGAGATCGGAGGCCCGCAAGATCGATGGGGTTTCGACGTGTTGATTGGAGTTGGAACGAGGTGAGTCTTGGGCGTGAGTTGCGATTGGGGACTTTGCGAGCGGTTGTTGATATATCATGTTTCAAGCTCGCCACTGAGAACGTGTTCGCAGTTCTACAGTTTTTCCGCGATATATATCACAAGAGAAGGAGGCTAGTTTAGCTTCTATCACGACACGAACTCTTGGTAGCCTTCTTCAGTAACGATCTGACCGTTTGTAACCGATCAGCACGGGAGCTACGGTCCTAGTTGGCAATAGTTCATGATCATCTAGATCCTGCAGGCCTCACAAGAACTTCTGACAGCTTTGAAACTCAAACTTCCAAATACAATTTCTTCATCTAAACGCCCTTACCGCTAAGGTCAACATTACATCCACTGCTAGTATACAGTTCTCGTCATATATCCCGTACCCAACTGAGCACTTTCCACTAGAGTACAAGTAAAAAAGAGAAGAATGGTCATGATGAAGACGCCTCTATTCTTTCTTGAAGCCCCTGGTCTACTAGAATACTCTCCCAAGTACCCGCATATAGTCGTAATGCATCATTCACCCATCATTCACCACCAATCTCTATTTAGTTGGCGCCGGTCGTATAACGTGTCCCGATCAACGACTCCTCAGTTCCCAAAAGCAAAGCTCGCCATTGTCTAAACCTCTTCTGTCCCAACGGACTCGTAACCACCGCGTTCTCTACGACCAGTCAACTGCATCAGACCAGGACTCTCATACATGGCTGTGTAGTCAACTCTCTCGCCACCAAGTACAGCAGCGCCGTTCTCTCTTTGGCCAAAGATGGGCGCAGGATCGCACCAAAAGTCCTTGCAGTTGGCGATGCAGCCTCGGCTGTAGGGGTTCTTCTTCTTGCGCTTGTTCTTGGTGGAAACGGCACCTCGGCCGGTAATGGTCTCGATAAAGGGGTCGACACCAAGGGTACGGCTCAAAGACTTGAGCATGCCGCCCTTGTGCTTGTGGTGGTGACCACCAGGGGTTGCTGTTGCGGATAGAGACGGGTGGTTGGGGTCGAGAGGGGCGCCAGTAGATGTGAGAGCGGTAATCGCAGTTCCGTCCCTCACACCAAACATGTTCTCATACGTAGTCATAGCTCGAGCTACCTGAATGAACTGGGTAAACAAAAGCATGGTGACCCAGAGGAGTTGAAGCGTAATCCAAACGGCCAAGATCGAAGTGTACGAATCAGCATTGATGAACTTGCAAAGGTTTGGACTAAGAACGTTGCAGCTATCCGAAGCATTGCTGCTGATAGTTTCGAAGTCTACAGCGTTATCAGCATTGGCATAGCGTCAGAGTAGGGGATGTTCAACTTACAGTAATACAGTAAAAAGTCGTATGAGATGATACCAAAGGTCAGCGAGATGAGGTAGAAGAAGAAGTGTCGGTGGTTGTTAATGCCGACACAGTTGTAAACCCAAGGACAATGGTGATCATGTTTCGCGACACATCGTTGACATCGGCGGCAGTGCTTGCTTCGGAGAGGCGTCTGAATCATGCAAGTAACACAAAAGTTGGTCTCGTCGTACTTCCACTGCGACAAAAGTCCGTCGATGACAGCTTTCTGCTCGGCAATTCCATTCATCTTTGGCACAAAACCCGGGTCGTATCTCATGCTGGCAACGTAGAAGTACGCGGTGAGGCCCAAGAAGATGCCGAAGAACAGGTTGAGAAAGGTATGGCCGTGACCCTCACTCGCGCCAAGCGTTGTGGCAAAGAGGACTGTCGTCAACCAATTCACAGCTGTCAAGAAGAGCGTGGCCGCAAAGATACCGGTGAGCCAAGGAGTCTTGTGAAAGTGTCGCATATCGGGAGGCGCATATTCCAGTACTTGCTGAGCAACCCACTGGACACCGTAAACCACAGCGAATCCAAGAGGAACACCAATGTAGATAGGCGCACTCGAAACAGCCATAAGCATGCCCCAAACCAGAACAAACGGCCAAATGAACAAGAACCTTGTGACAAAGGCTCTCTTGTCCTTCAAGAAATAGCTAGCACCCGGCCAAGGCGGCACCGCAGGATGACCGTCCTCGTTGAAACCGCATTCTCGAAGCGCTCTGTGCCAGGCGCCCTCCGTATTAAGCTCGTTGGCCGTCACAGCAGGAGTCTTACCCGTCTGTGTCTTTGCAAATCGATCGGCGCCGTACTCGATTAGTTTGAGGATACATCCCGGACTTCCTTTGACGAGCGCCCAATGCAGCGCGGTGAAGCCCTGCTCATCTGTCGCATGGACGCTTGCGCCCCAGCGAAGAAACAGATCAACGCATTGAGGGAAGCCCTTGTACGCAGCCCACATGAGCGCAGTGTGGCCGAACGTGTCGATAACGTCGACCGGAATTCCCTGGTGGAGCAGGAGGACAATCAGAAGGACGTTGCCGTTGAACGTCGAGATGTGAAGCGTGTTGTAACCTTGGGCGTCGGTGATGAGAGGGTCGGCGCCGTGCTGGAGGAGTAGATTGACGGTGTAGTAATGGCATCGTTGGGCGGCCCATTGAAGAGCTGTTGCTACCGATTCTCCGCCCTTTCTATTAATTTCAGCGCCGTGTTCGATCAAGAATTTGCACATCGCATATTGATTGTTAATCGCAGCCCACTGTATGCAATGTCAGCCAAAGTCCTCCATCATCCCCAACAATCGTCGCATCGCTTGTAACTCACATGTAAGGGCGTGATACCCTCATCGTCGTGGTAGGTCGCATCGTACTCGCCCGACTCGAAAAGCTTCTCCATGGCCGGTACGTCTCCTATCCTAGCGATCTGCATGATATCCTCCTCCTGGGCCTGCGTATCTCCCGGCAAACTGCCCATCTCGACTTCGTTATTCAGCTTTGGCGTAGCGGCATTCGATTTACCCGTCATCTGGATGGGCGCGGTCTGGCCGGAGGTGGAACTGGTACTGGTGCTCCCCATGGCAGGCTGGCTTGTAGCGCGGGGAGGGACAATTCGGTTGGACGCGATACTAGGTAGAGACGAAAAGATGATTGAGAAAGTCGGTTATTCGTACATAAACATTATCTATCAGGGCTTGCACACACGCGATAAGAAAAGAGAAGCAGTGAAGGATGGAGGAAGGGGAAAAAGTGAATGGGCTTGGCTGAGTCTTGGCTGAATTTTGGAAGGCAGCGCGTGGAGTAGGCCTACGTATTACTGAAGCCGTGATGCCGAGAGGCTGAGCTCAGACCCTCCCCTATGGGGAAAGCCGCCCGCAAGAAAAGCTCAGGGCTGACAGATGAAGCTGGTTCTTTTTATCCTTATTTTTAGACTATTAATTCAATCCAACTCCCTTGGCACTGAGCACAAGAGTACATTTGTGGTCTATTCTAAAAGCAATTCGAAAATCCAAACATTACATCATTAGGTCTTCTAACTTACTTGATTAATTGACCTCAACTCTCCTCTTCTCTCGCGGGGACAACCCAAGTTTGGGGCTCTCCTAGGCTCTGCACTAGGGAACCGGCACTGCCATTGCCTTTAATTAACAGGGTCCTTTTGTGGCTGATTACGTCCCATTTCCCCCTTATCCCCTTTCTGTTTCAGTGGGATTTCGACATCTTCGCTCATTGGACACAACGTATTTTCCTGTCGTTCGTGGCTGTGGCTGAGGCTGATGGCCGATGTGGGGACGCCGGTCTAGGAGCTTCCAGTGGGCTGGCCAGATATCGCTTCGCACAGCTTTGTCAAACTAAGGCCAACTGTCTGAATAGCGTCATTCAGCGATCGCATTCGACGTCAACGAGGCTGTGGTGAACTCACGAAGGGCTGTGGACTGTCCTACCTCTTCTCTATAATCGACAGCTACCGCGACGACTCAGGCGCCAATTGGTGCCGCACATCGCCCACCATGGCCAACTTCATCGCAACTGTTGAGGCCATCATGACACCCTCGCTCGCCACAATCATTATTGGTGCAATCATCATCATCGGTGCTCCTATAATTCTTCACCTCATCCTCTCTTCGTCAAGGACATACACCGTCGCCCCTAGCGTCCTCCTTCTCGGTCCCGCCAACGCTGGCAAGACGTCACTTCTCACACTCTTTGAGCGCGGCGCTTCTGGTACCGAGACGCACACTTCCCAGGTGTCGCACGATGTTGAGCTCAACGCCTCTACCGACTCCGATAACAAGCACTCTTACCGCAACCACGATACCCACGACGGTACATACACCAAGTTTCTGCTTGTCGATACTCCTGGACATGGAAAGCTGCGAAACGTGCCGATGAGCAAGCTGGACCGCACTGAAAAACTAAAGGCCGTTGTCTTTTTGGTGGATGCCGCTGCTATCGGAGAGCCCGAGGTTCTTGCGCCCACCGCTGCGTATCTCTACGACGTGCTGCTTTTCCTGCAGAAGCGGGCTACCACCGCCAAGGCCAAGGCTGCGATCCCTATTCTTATCGCCGCCAACAAGATGGACCTTTTCACCGCTTTGCCATCGACCCTTGTTAAGTCCAACCTCGAAGCCGAGCTGACGAGAATTCGTGCTTCGCGAAGCAAGGGACTGCTGGACTCGGGCGTCGGATCTGACGACATTGGCTCTGAAGAGCAGGATTCTTGGCTGGGCGAGTACGGTTCCTCCAAGTTCACCTTCAGCCAGCTCCAGGAGTTCGAAATCGATGTTGATGTCCTCCCTGGAAACGTCACTGGCGATGGTCCCGGAGCAGACAAGTGGTGGTGGTGGATCGCTCAGCGGATATAACAGCAGCGATCAATGCCTCACGAAGGAGCAGAAATGGAATGACACAATTATATTAATGACATTTCTTAATTTATGCAGCTGATTCCATCGCAAATGCCATGTAGATGTTGAGTCTACCGCCCAAAATTCAGTCTATCAAAAAAATCCCATCTTTTTCTCTAAGGTATCCTGGAACGCCAGACGTGAATGTCGTTGAAAACATGAGTACTCGTTCCCCCCTCGTCTCGCGAGGTTTCTCCCCTCTACAACTTCTTGTTGATCATCCATGTAAGGAGATCAACCTTTGTAACAATAGCAATAGGCTTGGACAGAGACTTGGAATCGTCAGTCTTCTCGGTGACGACGGCTGCACTGTTCCACTCAAAGAACTTGCTAAGTGTGGTGAGGGGTGTGTCCTTTGTGATCTCGACGAATTGTCTACGCTTGCCGGGGTTGATGGGGGAAGCGAATTCGCGAGGATCAGTGACGATCTCGTCGAGGCGCGCAAAGTCAAACATGACGTCTGATACAGGGCTCTGGGCCGTGGCGCGGCCGCGGGAGATGTAGCTTAGGAGATTACCCAATGTGACGAGACCGACGAGCTTGTGGCCGTTGGCGGAAAGAACGGGGAGTTGATCGAAGCCCTTGTCGCGCATAGTCTCGATGGCCTCCGAGCAGGAGGAGTTGGCACCGACGGATGTGACGGGCTTGAGGCGGAGAGAGGCAATGGTGGCGCCCTCGTAAGGGTCGGAGGTCTTCTTCTGGCTGTTGCCGTTGACGGTGGATTCAACACCGTTGACGGGGAGGAGATCGTTGGCAGCGAGCCAGTCGTCATCAGCGAACTTGGAGAGGTAGCTTCGGATGCTGTCGGGCAGGACAACAACCACGACATCGCCCTTCTTAAAGTTGTACTCCTTGACAGCGAGGAGCATAGCAGCCATGGCGGAACCGGAGCTGCCACCAACGAGGATACCCTCCTCGGCGATAAGTCTTCGTGCAAGGTGGAAAGACTGTCGGTCATCGGTCTTGTACCACTTATCAACAATCTGCTGATCAAGCACATCGGGAATGAAATCATATCCGATACCCTCCACCTTATAAGACTCATTGGCATGCTCCTCGTTCAGAAGCTCAGGCAGAGCAAGGATACTGCCGTGAGGATCCGCAGCAATGACCTTGATGTCCTTGTTGTGCTTCTTCAGACCACGAGCGAGTCCAGTGATGGTACCACCAGTACCGGCACCAGCGACAATAGCGTTGATCTTGCCGGCAGTTTGCTCCCAGATCTCCTCAGCGGTGCCGAACTCGTGGGCGAGAGGGTTGTTCTCGTTGCTGTACTGGTCGAGAATATGGGCGTTGGGAAGCTCCTTCTCGAGACGGCGGGCAACACCGATGTGAGACTCGGGGGCATCCCAAGCAGCTTGTGTAGGAGTACGGATGATGGTGGCGCCGAGGGCACGGAGGACGGAGACCTTTTCGGCCGACATCTTCTCGGGGAGTGTGATGATAGTCTTGTAGCCCTTGATAGCTCCGACGAGAGCAAGACCGATACCACTGTTACAGTCAGCTGAGATCCGAGAGCTTTGAAATGTGGTGATCTTACGTGTTTCCACTGGTAGGCTCGATAAGGGTGTCACCGGGCTTGATTCTTCCGCTCTTCTCAGCCTCTTCAATCATGCGCAGAGCAATTCTATCCTTGACACTGCCTCCAGCGCTGAACAGCTCTGGCTTGACGTAGACATCGCACTCGATGCCCAGCGACTGGGGGATCTTGTTAAGTCTGACAAGAGGAGTATTTCCGATGAGCTCTGTCGCCGAGTGGACAGTAGCAGCGCGAGGCGGAACGTGAGGGACCTGAGAAGCCATTTTGGAACAATTATGTATTTTAGATTAGGTAGAGAAGAATAAAGAGGGAGAAAAAAGAGTTTCTCATACGAGAACCGACGACTTAAGCACGCCACGGGACACAAACATTGTTAGCTAATGGCAAAGGCTGAAGGTGGCGGGGCGGGCATGACAGAAACTTTGGATGTGCCCCGCCAATGCCGAGTGTATCCTCTTAAACCCGTTCTAGAACGTGAGCTAGAAGGTTCAGAGGGCGGAATGCGGTAGGCGGTGAAGGTGTCAGGAGATCATGCTCGGTTTTGGGAGAACCGAAAGCCGTTGGCCTACCCGGGAGCATCGGCATCATGAAGTTTTGGCTCAAGTTAAGCTACGCATTAAGCTTAAATGCAGTTCAAGTTGATCTATTATTGCATTCGTCTTAACTCAATAATACCTGAAGAGAAGATGACTACTTCTTCACAATAAGAGATTGAGATATCGTGATTCTCCGTATTCTATATATGCGAAATGTTTATTGTTGCTTTGTTCTACTTTGGCTGGTACCAGCAGAAGCACATCAGCTTTCTACCCATGACGCCAGAATTTCAGTCACATCAATACGTTCACCGGCTCATGTCATGATGCTGAATAAACGTGCTGACCCAATTGACCCATCTCATTGATAAGACACCAACATCCTCGGCCATTCATCCCAGTTCTTGACAACCAGTCTAGCTGAATGTAAGCATACCTATTCACCCTCTTCAAAAGTCCTCGAACCTTTTACAATAGTTCCTCCGCCACTCGCTCGAACCTATCATCACCCTCCCGGACCTGGCTCCCACCCCGCACCTCCTTGTAGATCTTATCTCTGCCATGCTTGTTTATCGTTGGCGCCACGACATGGGTTGTGAGCACCAGTCGATGCCAAGACTTTGTAATGTTGCGACCTGCCATTTTTGCATCGTCTACCGATGGGTTTTAACCGTCTGGATCAGGTTCTGGTTGGGGTAAATTGTGAGCTTTGTTAGACTGTGTTGCATTGAGGTTGTGTAGCTGTAGCTATACGGATGACAGCTGTATTGCTATAAAAGGGAAGGGTCTGTCGCATTGTTTGGGGATTGTCAGGCTCCATTCACGTCTTCAAGAGGCATTGTTACTCAATTGACAATTCTCACCATGAAGTTTCTGAATGCTTTGCTCTACGGGGCTCTCCTCTTCTCTGAGGTGTCAGCTACCAAGAAATTGACTCCCAGTCAAGTTGAGGGTGACATTAAAAAGTCAAAGTATGTCAAACCTCACTCACTCAATTCGCTAAAACCACTAACATCAACAGGCTTCGAAAGACCCTTGAAGACCTCAACACAATCGCCAAGAAGAACGGCGGCAACCGTGCCTTTGGCTTCCCCGGCTACAAGGCCTCCGTCGACTACATCTCCAAGCAGCTCAAGGGCCAATACGGAAAGCATCTCAATACTTACATCCAGCCCTTCAACTACACCTTCGAGCAGACCAAAGACATCTGGGTCCGAGGACCTGATGGCGAGGATGTCTATGTCATCACTCTCATCTACAACGTCGGCACACCTACTCCCGATGGTGTGACAGCTCCTCTTGTTCTCGTCCCAATTGACGATGAGCGCGGATCTGGATGTTTTGCAGACCAATGGGAGGGTGTCGATGCCAAGGATAAACTCGCTCTCGTGAAGCGCGGCTCGTGTGCGATCTCAGATAAGCTCAAGCTCGCAAAGAAGGCCGGCGCTCGTGGTGTTCTCCTCGTTAACAACCAACCTGGCGAGGGTATCACCAGTGCGACTCTCAGTGCTGAGAACCTTGAGCTCATTGTCCCAGTTGGCGTGATTCCTCTTGAAGTTGGTACTGCTTGGAGAACGCGCATTGAGGCTGGTGAGACGCTCGAGGTCACTTTGCTGGTTGACTCGTTCCATGAGACCCGTGAAACTTGGAACATTATCGCAGAGACTAAACAGGGTGACCCTAACAACGTTGTCATGATGGGTGCTCATCTAGACAGTGTCCAAGCTGGTCCCGGTATCAATGATGATGGCAGTGGAACTGCTGGTATTCTCGAGATTGCCAAGTCTTTCACCAAGTACACTGGTTACAAGAACAAGGTCCGCTTTGCTTGGTGGGGTGCTGAAGAGTGAGTGACACAATCCACGTCTCTCTGCTGTTGACTGATCTGTGATACAGGAGCGGCCTTGCTGGATCTTACTACTACGGCGAGCAGCTCACCGAGGAGGAAGCCGACAGAATCCGATTCTACTTCAACTATGACATGATCGGTTCTCCTAAGCCCAAGTACTGGGTCCAAGCTAGCAAGCCCGCCGACCGAGTTGGAGGAGATATCCTGGCTGCCTGGCTCCGCAAGAAGGGCAAGACCGTCGAGTGGGAGTAAGTCCTAACACTGATCATCTACAAGAAGTATACTCACAGTTTCACAGGGAGTTCGGTGAGTCTTCCGACTACGCTGCCTTCGTCGAGCTCGGCATCCCCTCCTCCGGTATCTTCACCGGTGCTGATGCCGAGACCGATCCATGCTATCACTTGGAATGCGACACCATCAACAACATCCACTGGGGAGCTCTGACTCTCAACACCAAGACCGCTGGCCGTGCTGCTGCCCAGTTCGCTCTCAGCCTCAAGGGTGTTCCTCCACGAGACAAGACCTCTGCCAACCCTAAGAGCAAGAGGGCTGTTGCTGCGCGCTTCGAGCAGTGGCAGAAGAAGAAGACTCTTGCTAGCAACGCGCACAAGTGCAATCATAAGACAAAGGTTGTTGTCTAAGCATGACAAGAAAGACCTGTTAGAGAGGAATGAGATGAGAGATGACGAGATTATGATGACGATAAATTAGTGTATATATTATATGAATGTCCTTGACTATGCAATGTTCATTATGTTGCCAGCGTTGTGAAGATAAATGAAAATGCTCGCTCGCTCGCTTGCTGATTGTGAATGTCTCTCATCTGACGCCTTGACTGGAACAATATTCTTGTTCTCCATCCCCTCCCATTTCATTCGTCGTATCCCTCATCTCACATTTCTCATAACTCATTCATCCCATGAACTTCTGCTGACAGGCATGGCAGCTATCGCCAATATGTCCTCGGTGGATTCTCTCCCCTTCTCGGGTTAGGAATAGGAATCGCCCTATAAGTCGGATACTTCGGCCCCCCGGGGATCTGCTCCCTCTGCACAACCGGCGACGGAAACTGGACAGGAACAGGTCTAGCAACAGGAATAGGCACAGGCCTCACCCAGTTCTCGTTCGGCATCCTCTCAGACCAACCATCCGAAGAATCCGCATAACTGCTCCGATAACTCCTCCGCTTCTTAGGCTGCTTCGGTCTTCGACAGCAACAAATCACAATAAAAGCGAGCACGAATACTCCAACGATGCATCCGATTATTGCTCCGATTTGTGCACTGCTTAATCCATCGCCGCTGTGTCGAGACGTCACGACGGGACGGTCCGTGGCTGGAGCCGAAGCCACGCCTAGCGTGACTTGTGTGGTGTAAGTGGTCGTGGGGAGAGAAACGGTCTGCGTTATAACCTGCACCTCTTGGCGGGCATTTATGTGGGGAACTCCCATGATAAAGAACAAAGGCAAAAGTGAAGTTATTCACAAAGCAGAAAGTGCAGAAAAAGAAAAGAGCAGCATCGGGGGCCATGACACCCTTTTTGAAACATCCGTCCCGTCCCACGCCAGGCAACCATCATGGGCATCTGCTGATACACTTTTGTTTCACTGTACCAACAGCCCTACAGACCAACGACTTTTTTTTTATCTGCAGCAGAAACTGGTTAGGACGCGGGCTACGATGTAACTGTATCTAGGTCAGTTGGTCGACGGTTGACCAATGACGCGTGAGGTTTGGGATGAGGGGGTGTGGTGATGCAGGCTGGACTAGGCTGCCATAGCTGATAAAGATGACTGCATTGAGATTTTTTGCTTGCCTTTTTGTGCTGGTCCTGTATTTTGGTTCGCATTTTTGGTTCCGGCAGGCAAAGTGCTTGTTGTGACTGTTCGGACAAGATGTATGTCATTGTGGTTTGAGACTAGCTCCAAGAAAGATGCATCATTATTTGTCTGCTATAGCTTTGGCTTCATGCATGTTACTTGTATAAGTAAAGACTTCTTCCACTTGGCCCTGTTGCGTTGATAACATGCTGCCGCTTCGATGCACGTATTGACCTCGCAATGCTCTCCGTATTAGTGATCATATCTCTCGGGAATATTACCACCGAAGTACACCCATGATTATGTCCTGGATTATCATTCGAAGACCCCATCAGGTAAGATGCATTGATCTTGTTTTGCAGCAATAACGCCTTGAAGTGAACTGTGTTCTTCTGCGCCCATCACGCCATAGGTTAAATAAGGTCTCTCTTCTCACGCTGTGGCACATCGTATCAATGCATTTTGAGGAGGAAACAAAGATCAGGGGATTAGATTAGCGAGTTCGATGACTTGTATTTTATGATAGGCTACAGATGACAGGACCTGGGCCACAAAGTTGCATGCGACATGTTAGCCGAGCGTCCCGCCTTTGATCTGCATCAGTTGGACATAAGCAGAGTCCATTCATGTCTTCCTTGTCAGAATGAGGACCCGAAAGTCACAAGCTGGTCTTCCACGTATCTTATATAGGCCCTCCTCGACGACGTCCACAACCCAGCCAGCGACATGCAACCCAGGTGGCCACTCCGCTTCCTTCGAGTACATAAATTCTTCCGGTCCAAGCTGTGGTCTATAAAGACCTTCTGGGTCTTTATCACTAAAACATGAAACACCATCTTCTTCTTCGTCAGCAGCAGTAGCCGCATCATCTAAATCAGCATATAACCCATAATGATTAGAACTATCGAAACCAGTCTTGCATCTCTCTACACTAATCTCGCGGAGATTAGGCATACCGTCGAGAAGCAAATTGTAGACGTCCTGGTTATGCAGCTCACGTTCCGATTCGACCCAATTCTGTGTCTTTCATATTCCACCACAATACAGGTGAAGAGTCTCAATCGATTCCGGCAAAACCTCACTCAGTCGTGAGAGTGGCTCGATCTCTCCGATCAAAGCCTCCTTGCTGACTCCGAGATGTCTGAGGGATTTGAGTTCTCGGAGGGAACCAATTATTCCTTCCCCTGGGCCGCGATTTCGCTGAAATGTGCGGTAGCTTTCAAAAAAGAAAGTGTTCAAGTCGAACTTTTCAAAATTTTGGCCATGTTTTCGAAGAACGTCCCCAAAGTCATCAAAGTTGAGGGTACACTCTTCGTCCTCACTGAAGCCCAGGTCATAGTTAATTGTTGTCTCCCTATCCTCGTCGGGTAACCTAATCGAGATTCCCTTCAGCTTCGGGTAGCGAGTGAGAATTGTGCTTAGTCCTTCGGCATCGACGTAAGATTCCAGGAGGCTGAAATACTCAAGGTTGTAGTTCTTGTGCTCAGGCCTCACAAATCCGGTGAGTTCATCGCCGTACCAGGCAGTGCCAAGTGTTCGTAGTATTTTGAGCGTAGAATTGAGAAGAAGAGGCTCGATAGTCCAAGGAACCTCGATACTCTTTGGATTCTCTACTGCTCTAATGCGAATTTCGGTGAGGTTTGCAAAGCAATAATTTGTAAATATACCCTTAGAAATGCCCTTCTGTTGGTACTCTTCCATGCTCAATTCCTTACCGTAGTCTACCACGTACTCTTCCTCATCAGAAAAGTCGTACTCTTCTTTTTTTTGCAACGTAATATTCGTCATCGGAAAAGTCATTCTCTTCCTGTTGTCGGTATCTTCATCAGAAACTTTAACCTTTCTATCTCGTTTAAGCCAGCCTAAAGGCCTCCCTGCTTCCGGACTTGCACTCAACAACCAAGGAAGATGAATGTCCTGTCACCTATAATACAGTCGACGACCTGCTCATGAGGCATACATGCTAGGATAAGAGCAGCAAAGCCAGAGTATGCAATATTTCTCATCATCATACGTTTGAGGGTAGGTGGTATGTCTAGCTTCTCCATTGCTGATCGAACGAGCGCCTTGGTTGCGTCTCTGCCCAATATCTCCACCTTCTATGAGAGCTTGATACAATCGGCCACAGAGACGGCGCGAACTTGCTCTACGAGCTGCGGATTCTCGACACAGGTTCTGAGAAGAAGAGTGCTAATGTTCTTTGCGCCATTGCGGCCTTCGATGACAATGGTACGGTACAGCAAAGGTTGTGCGATGCGTCGGAATTGGCGGCAGACCAGGCAGAGGTTGCGGAGTGCGGCTGAACCTCAATGATCTAGTCGAGATCCATACAACTGCCATTTATCTAGATTCATTTGGTCCTCCAGTTGGGTAAATGTTCTATGCAAGATTTCATCTGGAAGAGCCTCCACGGTGAAAGATTAGGAGGCCTGAGTGATTTATTTGGCCTTGTCGCTATCGCACGGTATAGAACAGAGGGCTGATGAAGATCATTGCGATTCGTCCATCCAAACGAGTTCAAGGAGTCGCCGCATTGACTAACGTTAATGCACCTCTACCCTGGTATTACCCCAGCCATACATGTAGAGACTGCCGTGGCCCCTGGAGCAATGACTGGATTGTTTTTACGAGACATCCAATAAAGTCAACAACGCTGATTCTCGAAAGCTTTCATAGAAGATGTAGTCAAAACAGATTGTGTGTTGGTATCTTAATTCTTTGGTCGTCTAGACACTTTCCCACTCTCGACTTGTCAAACAGAAAACAACAGGAAAGAAATTAACGTACAAATAATTGAAACAAGCCACCCTTATCTACCTCTCAACCCCAGAGTTCTCAGTAGGCACCGCATCAAAGCCAGAAAAGCTCTCGTGTACACCATCACATCTACAGCTGAATAGCTCCACCAAGCAATCTTTCACCTCCTCCCTTACAAAACTCCCGATATCCATCCCATCTCTCCCATGAAGCTCATGGCCTAATATATAGCATCTGACGATAAGTTGCCAGCAGAGTTCGAGATAGCGACCTAGTTCCTGCCTACATTGAGGATGCAGTGGCTGCCCTGGGACAGGGAGGCTCCCTCTCGGGGCGTAATCGGCATACTCGAGAATACGATCTGTTATCTCGATAGGGAGGCCTTTTTGGAACAGTATACTTCTGACGTGGGATACATCTGGTGGGCTAGGTCGATATTCCATGAGCTTTTCGAAGTTGAGGAAATCGTCATATGACATGAGACCTAATGGATAGAACTCCAGTGTATAAAACATATTCTCAACCTCTTCAGGATCTTTCTCTTCGGGTTCATCACTGGAACCATCATCGGAATCGTTTTCTGCACTAGACTTGTTGCCCGAATTGGTGCTAGAACCGTTGTGAGATTCGGCGTCAGACTCATCATCAGAGCAAGAGAAGCCAAAGCGATCCAAACCCTTCTGGTAGTTTTCAAACCCATTTGTGTCAAACCGCATAATATGTTTCCAGCGAGGGACATCATGGGGTCGAGGATTCCACCAGAACTGATCCTTCTCGATACCGAGAAAGTCCCTGTGAGGGAACATAGCAATCTCACTTCTGTACCCAGACTCCGTACTCGACCGTACCGCCTGCTGGTATGCTGCCAAGTTTCGATAATCCTCAATGGGAGATCCGTCTGCATCATATGCTTCGGGAAACTGCTCCAGGACATTAAGGATCACATACATCCTGATCGCGTCTTCGTATATACTTCTCCATCCAAAATATACCTGTGTGCAATCGCATTCTCTATGCTCCCGCCATTTCGCCAGCTGACACTCTTCGTACGCGCATGAGCAGAGAATAGCATCCATTTCGCCATGAAGGATCAAACTCTCGACGATCTGGAGATTGCGAAATGATTCCCGGTTGTCTATATCGAACTTGAAACAGTCGTTCTGGACTTGTGGACGTTGGAACGCAGACATTTTGCGTTCTTTGTAAGGTAAGACACATCCGCAGTTATCAGACTCTTTTGTGTGAGGGCATAGCCTTTTAGTTGTTGGCTGTTTGAAAGTCTTGAGGTCGTCGCTGCCGTCAGGCCAATAGACCTCTGGATGCCAACGCCTGACTGTTGATTCAATTTTGACTGCCGCTTCATCTGAAATGATGACTTGGTTTTCGTCGGGGACTTCGTATCTCTCTGGATATTGCTTGCGCTGTTGAGCTGCATCCTCAACAACACTCTGCATAAAGATATCAACAAAGTTGACAAGCTTTGCTCTGCTGTCTGGTTGTATTAGTACGTGAAAGTTGTAAGCGTCGTGTTGGCAAGGATTGGTGCGTCGCAGCTCAAGCATTGAGGCAAGGTCCCCCCAAGGTAGTCTCTCTGAATTCTGTGCCATGATTTTTCTGCCGGTATATTTGTGAGTATATTGAGTTTGGTTTGCTGATATGGGTGCTGATCGACGAGTTAATGTGTTTATTTATTGTTATACTGGCCATGGACGGCGACCCATACCTGCACAACCGGTTGTGCATTTAGTTGTCGGGCTGAGTCACGCCGAACCAAACTAATGTGCTACAAAACATTATGGGGCGCAAAAGAATTGATTTTATTGTTCATTTAGAAGAAATGCGACATGTAATCAATGAAGTTAGCCCATCAACCCTGGCATTGAGAATCACGCGTAACAGTACTTATGGCTACCGGAAACCTAAGTCTTTCCGTATCAAGAAAGGACCTAGTAAGACACAAAAATGAGGCTGTACCCTCGTAATGCTAGCTGGTCCTTGCCTTTATGTCCGTTCATGTGATTCTATCAACTAAACTTTCATGTAGTAGATTTCGCGCTCTCGATGCTGGCCCTTTCTTTGGATATCAGAACAGCTGTTGCTCGAATATCACCCAGCATGCGATTCGAGGTTCTATGCTAGAAATATTTCCTTCCAAGACGGACCAGGGTCTAGACTAAACTCAACAGCACCTTGGTGAAGCAGCCCAGAACCTCGCCTTTCAGCTATTCCACCGTTCCACTCCAGAATCATGATGTTATAAAACCTCCACTGGCCTGCGGCTAGAGGATACGGATCCTGCGATTGTACCCAACGGGAGTCCAAAAACCGAGGATTGGACGTCTCGGACAGAAGTATTACCCCATAGGCGCCGCACGATTCGAAAAACTCGGTTTCGTCAAAGCCATCCAGAAAAACAAAACCGCATTTCTTGTTGTTAGAATCTTGAAGGCATCCGGTACCCCTGAAAACGTCAACGTCAGAGATTCTGTAGAACAGCGAAAGTGTCCAAAACTGCAGCATGGGGTAAGATGGCACTTCCCGAGAGAAAGACACCTCCTCGGTCGGCATGGTTTGCCTTGTGTCTAGTTGATTGGGAACGTATCGGCCATCGCGAAAAGGGCGCCTGTGACGATATCCCGCATACTCCATATCTGGCAAGCTTGCATTCGGATCCCAGACAAGTTGTGTAATACCAGATGAATTTCGCTTATACCATATGATCCACGTCCTGTCCCTGAGCCACATTTTGGTGTTCTCGGTCATAGTCATATTTTCGCAAGTGAATTGCAAGTTCATATCGACACAACCGCGCCAGCCTGTCCACGAGTAACTTGGAAATGTAGAGCGCCGGTGAAGAATGGTACCATCTGCAAAGAATGTGATGAATTTGTCGAGCATGGCTGTTGGAAGGCCCTGGAAGAAATTGCACTTCATCCGCTCTGCAATCCGCCTGATAATGCCAGCCATGGCTCGTAGTGTGTCGTTCTGATTTGTCAAGACTCTTTTGGTATAGAGGGAGAGCATTGTCGATAAATGAATCACCGGGTCATTCACGAGCACAGACATCGAATGAGAAGCTCCTGGCGTCCAGTCAGCCGAGGTTTGTGATAGGTCGTCTACAAAGTGTTCGGCATGCTCTGCTGCACGACAACGGTAGAAGACCTTATTTTCAACAAAGTAGAGAACTCGGCGAGATAGGACTTGCTCTTGAAACCTGCACCGAATCAGAATCCTTGATAGATCATAATTAGATACGAGACTTACGTCCATGCTCTGGAGTGATAGACTGAGCGTTCGAGCAATCCGTCTAGTCCCGTCACAATTCCCATCTCGACACCGGGCATAATCTTGAATGAGTTAGAAGAACCATCTCGGGTCCCCTCCTGAACACCGGGGAGTCGTGCGTCAGCATCATGACCACAGGCTGCGACAATTGTCAACCAAGCTCTCTCGTAAACAAGGTCCATGACATTGACGCCTAGCTCTAAGTCTTCGGTGTTATTTTGCAGCAGGCAAAGCGCGTCAACCCATAAATATCTACACCCAAGACGCCTTGTCAAAGTGATAGCGTCTTTTATCGTGTTTGGTAGCATCTTAAAGACCTTTTCTAGAGACCTGGGCATAAGCAGTGTCGTTCGATTCGCCTTAGTGAGTCGAAAGTTTGCAACAGCTCCCCATACATAGCTCAAAGCAATATATTTCTCAAGACTTGTCATCTCTACGACACAATGATCCTCGACATCGATCACGCGGAGTACACGGAGACCAGGAAATGCCTCAGCAAAGGGTAAGTCCGTCGGCATCGCACATTCCGAGCTATGAAGCTCCTCGCAGGATGAGATCCAGCGTAGGATCCTAGAAGTGTCCACCAAAGGGTCCGTCCATGGCTCAAGAAAGAGTCCCGAGGTAGGATCGGGGTGACCAGACGTCTCTATGCCTGAGCTGAAGCCGATCCACGTATAATCTCGAGCCCCATAGGTAGTGAAAGCCCAGCGCCCGGCAGGCCCCAATATCCAACGAAGCTCAACCTCAACGGTGGGCGAATCAGCGATGAAGTCTGGATCCCATTGGGATATGAAAAGGCGACACAATGGGCATGAACTGTTCTTGATTCGGATAGCAACCCCAAGTGACCATGCTGGGGCTCTTATCCGTAAACGCTTCGCTTCTGCATCTAGTATCCTTGGATCCAGAGGAATCTGCGAGCAGCATTCACATAATGGTGCAGGCGACGACATATCAATGACTGGTTTCAGAAGACATGAGCCATAACTTTGGTTTATTGCTAGATCAGTGTATGTTAACCCGAACCCAAAATTGTCGCATTTATGCAGCCCCACATGTGACTAGGTGATTGAAGATCATTGTAAATTTTAATTAAGCAGAGTACACCACATAAAACACAATATTGTTGCCCGTCACAGCGCTGCGACTATACACTTAGAAGCTAGTCTGGATACGGTTCGAGATTGGGGATATACCAAATATTACAGGCGAGGCGTATATCTACCTAAGGTAAATCTCTCTGTCTCGGTAGGATTCGTGTATTAACGGCTGTTCGCATTCTTTTTCCTTGTAATCCTTTAGTTCCCGATATCTTGACTGGGACAAGGCGATCATAAATTTCCCTTGGGACCAAGCTCATCCAATTATAGTCGTAGACAAGCAATATGATCTTCACCTTGGTCCGTGATCCCTTTTGTGGTTTCTTGCTACTCAGGTCTTCCAACATTTCGTTCAGTTGGGAGATCAAGTTGGCTTGACCAGATCCTTTGGGACCAGAGCTCACAGTCGCAAGATCAATGATAATATAGATCTGCCCTCCCAAGTCTTGCATGATTAACCTGAAGAGTGCAAGCCAGACTTGACTAGTCTTGGCTTCCTCCAGCTGTGAATACCGTAATGACATCTGCTTTTCCGTCGTAACTGTTCCCTCAATTTGCAACGCTTGGTAGGCCAGGTACCTCACCAAATCGGCTGGACTCAGCATCGCATTGGGGCTCGTCTTGTTTGCACTGCCCAATACCCAGATAGCTGGTATGTTCATCATGGTAACTGCTTGTATGATATCAATTGCGAAATCCTGTATTGCCCAACGGGTTGTGAAGCTGCCTCTGATGATTGTGAGAGAAGAATGCGGGCAAGAGGACCATCTTGCGAGTTTTGGAGACAACCAGAACTCGTTGGTAGTCACTGTTGCTCCTCTTCCAGAAGCTCTCCGGTTCCTGAGGAACAAATGGTGTTTGTATAAAGACTTAGGGTTCTCGAGGCTCTGAGAGAAGGTTGCTAATGCTTGAGATAACTGCAGAGAAGAGAGCTTTTGATTGGTATCCAGCTGCGCACTCGTCTGAATAGAGTGGAAAGCTTCATACACGTTAGTAAAAAGACCTTGCACTCATTTTTGAATGTAGCATACTCTCTATCTTTGTCAGCAAGTCGTTGATTGTCAACCCAGAAGCCTCTAGCCACTGCATGATCAAGTCGAGCTTCCTATCATGGTCTCGACTCGATATCTCCAATCTCGAGATAGCGCAATTGAGGCCATCTATCTGTGATTGCCTAGTCTTCTCACTAGTCTGTAAACTTAAGATGATTTCGTTAAGTTTTGATGACTGAGTGTCGTGCATAACTCGAAGCTCAGTCTGTGATCCCACAGCTGCAAGTTCGTTGATGTTGCCCGTGCAAGTTTCTATCCTCTGTAACAGATCGCTGTATCTCAACTCGTGTGGTCTTGTGAAGCTGTGGTAAATGTGTTTGAACTTTGACTCGTTACACCAGGAGTGAGCAATGAGTAAAAACTCCATGATGCAAGAATAGAGGCTTTCAATGGCTGTCTTCATGTTCTTGGTCGGATACAGAGCGGATAGATGTTCAATGCGTGGAAGACGCTGTGCCACCTCGAAGAGAGATTTTGATAATAATTTGAGTGTCTCGCCGTGATTGACCACGCTCTAGTATTCGATGGTGAGATATCTGGTTCAATGCGGAGATTAAGCCGACTTACGATAAACATCACCTTCATCAGTCCCCAGGCCAAGGAGACGTACTCAGGATGATGCTGAACAAAGACATCAAGTACTTGGCCATAATGGCATATTGATTCAGAGGCTTTCAATAACCATTTCCGTGTTTTGGAGGCTTCGCTCTTGGCTTCGTACTTTGCGAAAGCATCGCTGACTGCCTTTTCAACTTCTTGTAACGACGACTTCTTCCCTAAAAGAGCCTTCTCATCACTGCTTAATGAATTGCTCTGTTCAAAGTGTTTCTTAACCGATTTGAAGGCGTTATGCGCTATATCCGCTTTATCTGACAGAGTAAGCTTGAATGAAGTGTTTCATTGGCTAGTGATTGCTTACTCGTATCATCGCCCTTGTACCATGACTGAAAGACCAGGTCGACGGACATTGCAATGTAGGATGTAGAATGACTTTCAATAGGAAAGTCCTTCTTTTTCGGAAGCGATGTGAACTCAAGTCTCAGTGGCCACCGACAGAGGGAAAGAGGAGGCGCTGGAGGCTGAGCAATCACGAGGCATAATCAAGATGACGACCTGCAGCTTCATGCATATACCCCTGTCAGGCGCTTTTGCGGCTGACTTTCAACTCCTCAGCCTGATTCATTTTCACCTCAACACCTTCTCATTTCATCTCATAATCGGTATCTCTCAAGTAAAGAGTGAACATGGACTCACCAACTAGAAGCGTATCGCCAGCGCCAAAGAACAAGAAGGAAAAGGCAGATGATAAGGATGATAGCGAAGAAGAGGACATTCATCAGCAGCTCAGTCGACTTCTTAGAAGAGAGGGACATTTGTTTGCGAAACCCTCAATGTTGGCGCTACCTCGGAGACCTCGACCTGCCCCGTCAAACACTCGAATAAGTAATCCTCTAAAGTCCCCGAAAGGAAGAATACCTCCGCCACCTCCTATCATGGCCGTTCCCAGGACTCCCCGTCCTGCAATACAGGCGATGCCACCACCACCGCCTCCCCCTCCTCCCATTGATCGTTCTTCTACGCTCCCGAGTGAATGGATCAACCCTAACGATCCTCCTCCGCCCCCTCCCCCGGGTTATCCACAGACAATTCAGCCGTCTCCACGGTCACCTTTGCCACCTGCTGTCAAGCCCGCTCAGACACATTACACCATTTCTGAGGACGCTATAGGAGCTAGCAACAGAGATAAACTTGCAGCGATAGATAATGGACCTATCATGCCAAATGGTGCCAATGCTGGCATCAATATCAATAACTTCGGCCACAACTTGGCACCCCCCCCCTCCCCCGCCAGCCTCCTGGAGAGCCTCTGGCCCAACTAGCTATCGCATCCCAACCTTTACTAAGGCCAATAAAGAGCAAGTAGAAGCACAGGCAAGCCTTTTGGAGCCAAGTTCCGTGCCTTTAAACGCCACTGGGCTTCAGCATGAAAGTGGGCCATCAAATGTGGGAAAGACAACAGAGGCCCATGGACTTTCTCAAATACAGGAGGAGGTATCTCATGACTTCACCGCCGTTACTGGGAAGGGTATTTCTTCCCATCAGATTCTCGTCGACGAGAACACATTACAGGCATTAATCCAACGTGTTGAGGAGTTGGAAGAAGAGAACACCACCCTTCGAGAAGATGCAGACAATATCTCAACTGTTCCCATTGACTTGCCTGCCAAAGTTCAGCTCTTCTATTGCTTAGAAAGAGTCGAGCTGGACGACGACAGTGTCGACGAAAGAAGTCGGACTGTCTATCTTTCTCCTCCTGAGTGGGTAGTTTTTGGCGACGATGTCGACCTCAGAGGTCGATTCCCCATCACAGACCCTGGTGACTACGCCGAAGAACAAGGCGCATCACTTATCGTCTACAAGTATTACTCCGTGGACTATCAATACGACGCGGTAAATGCTGCCAAAAGAGCAAAGCAACCGCTCCCTGAACCAGAACCAGCCAGCCAGGATGTTGTTCTAGTGACGGAAGAAATGGTTGAGGCAGTCGAGGCCTTATTTGAGCTTTTCCCTTCAATGAGCGACGACTTTCCGTATGTTTACGAGATGGGCAGCTTGCAGGACCCTCACCTCTGGTGGTATCACTGCCGAACTGGCTTCAAGATGGAGGCACTGTCAGAGAGACACGCTCAATTGGTTGGACTTCTCGTTGAATGGATCGAAAGTAACTTTGCACCACTTTATGACCAAATCGACGATCAATTCAAGAGAGGAAAGGTCTCGAGCGACTCCATTGAGTTCCTAATACGCCCAGGAGATACCCTCGTCGCAGACAAGAACGGCAGATACAGTGGACGCGTTGCTACCACTCGACCGGCTCCTCACAAGCAGAAGAAGAAATCGGACGATTCAGATAAGGAACAAGAGAAACAGGGGACGCACACGTGGATTGTGGAAACGCGCTCCTACGGATATGCAGGAAAGTTCTTTGCAGTCGATAGGGAGCTATTCATTGACTTCCCACCCAAATATAGAGGCGGGGAAATTAATATCACGGATCTCAACGTTATACCGCTATCATATGCAAAGCCCAGGGTAAAAGAAATATTACGACAGCGAGGCAAGAGGTTTTGGAAGCTGCGAGAGAAAACGCTCATCTCGTATGAAGGCAGTGATTCTGATAGGATACAAGCGGTAAGTAGGCCTCACCCAAGCTGACACGTTGTGCTGAAACCCAATAGGGGCAACGGTTTATGGTGGACTTTGACACCTACAAGGAACTCCATCCAGGAAGCAGCTACATGAGACAAGAAGGTTATATATCAGGCCGAAAACCGAACTTGCCAAAGGATGGAAGCGAGCCTGAGGAACCAGAGATTTACCTGTTCCCTAAGCTGATCCCGGGATTTGACCTGAGACGTAAGAAATGGGGTAAGCAGCTCTCTTAGATTCTTTCGCTATACTTGATATACTGATGGGTATGCAGTTGATCTCGAGGTCGATCGAATTCGAGACGTCAGCTGGAACAAGGAGGCTTTTAAAAGTCTCGTCGCGGACGAAGCCATGAAGGAGCTGGTCCTAGCTCTAGTGACCAACCAACTCGATGCCGAGAAAAACACAGATCTTATCGAAAGCAAAGGCAGCGGTCTCATCATGCTCCTGCACGGGTCCCCGGGAACAGGTAAGACATTTACAGCTGAGTCTGTGGCAGAAATCGCCAAGAAGCCTTTATATCCAGTTACGTGCGGAGATATTGGCACTGAGCCTGCAGACGTGGAGAAGTATCTCGAATCTGTGTTCCATCTAGGCAAGGTTTGGGACTGTGTTGTACTTCTTGATGAAGCAGAAGTTTTTCTTGAACAACGAACTTTACAAGATTTGAAGAGGAATGCTTTGGTGTCTGTATTCCTTCGAGCGCTGGAGTACTATGAAGGCATCCTCATCTTGACGACTAACCGTGTTGGGACATTTGACGAGGCCTTCAAGTCACGTATCCAGCTGGCTCTACGGTACGAGAAGTTGAAGGACTACCAGCGATTACAAATCTGGAAGAACTTCCTGGTGAGGTTGAAGAGTTTAGGAGAGGAGGAAAGTATCGACTTTGATGATATCGAATTATATCTGGAAGAGTTGGCAAAGTATCCTATGAATGGACGGCAAATTCGGAACTCGATCACAACGGGGCGACAGTTGGCCAAGTATAAGAGGAAGAAGATGACGTTTGCGCATTTGAAGAGGGCGATTGATGTCGCGGATAAGTTTGACAGGTATTTGGCTGATGTACAGGAGGGTGATATGGAGGAGTTTAGTGGCAGGGGAGAAAGTGGACGATATACACCCGAGTATCTTGCGAGGGCTGATCAAATCCGATGAACAGACATAAGGAGACACGTTTTTATAGATGGGGCGTTTTAAATGATTGGGGTGACATTATGATTGATGATAACGTTAAGTATATACAAGATAAGAAGGGACGATGTCTGTTGAAAAAATGAGAAACGATCCCAAAAACTTCCGTCCTACTTGTGCAGACCATCGGATTCTGGTGGTCCCTTATACACATGCCTAGCATGCACAACATACCAAACCGCCGACATCGCCATGAAGCCAAAGAACACAACGACGGCGTAATTCATCGTGACAGCATTGACAGGGATAGCAACAGGCATACAGAACAAGACCATCTCAAAGCAAATCCAAGTCAGAGCGAAGATGTTGATGACCCAACCAATCTGCTTGCCAAAAGTCCAGGGCGCTGTGTTGACTCCAGCTCGATTGGTGAGCAGGGATAGTAAAATTGGAATACCATACGAGCTAGCGAGACCAATGACACCGACGGCGATGAAAGCGTTGAAGGCAGAGCTCGAGCCGAGGTAGATGAGACCCAGAAGCATCTCGATGATAGTCGTTAGGAGGAGAGCCATGATGGGTGTTTCGTGACGCTTGCTGACTTTGGACCAGACTCTCGACAAGGGAATAGCTTCATCGCGTGCGAAAGCCCATGTTGTTCGGGAGGCGGCGACTGTGATGGAGATGGAGCAGAACAGCGTGATGATGAGGACCAGTGCTGTAAGGGCGATTCCGCCGGCTTGGGAGCCCATTACCTGGTAGAAGATCATGGGGAGGACCTGGCCTAGGGGTGCGGCAAGGAGTTCTTCTAGCGGGGGGAGGGTTGCGCAGATGGGGATGATCTGGTGGTTGTTAGTAGATTTATGTGAGAGGTAGATTAGCTGTGACTTACGAAGAACAGGCCTGCAATGCCGCCGACGGGGACGCAAAGGGCGAGAGCTCTTGGGAGCTTGACTGTAACATCGCCGCATTCTTCAGCCATGGAAGTGATCATGCCGATAGCGGAGAACGTATAAGCTGATGGCAGAGCACCGATCCAGAAGCCAAAGTTTCCCCAGCCTGACAGATTGGGATCAAAGTTACCCTTGGCTAGTTAGTAAACACCCAACACATCGGGGATTTTCGTACTTACGAGTGTGTAACTTGCCGAATGTCTGCCCTTATCGGCCTTGGTCGACAGACAGACACAAACAACGAAGATGGTAATAGCGGTAAAAGCTGCACAGAACGTATCCACGGTAGGAAGGAATTTGTTGCCAAACGCGACAATGAAGAAGGTAAACACACAAAGTCCGTAGAAGATCAACACCAGCTTCCACGGCTGCCAGTCGTAGTCGGGCAGGAAGATGCTAATACCTCCGGCAAGAAGCGAAGCAAAGCCAAAGTTGACGGATAACGTGATGGTCCAGTTTCCAACGAGCCATGTCCAGCCGGTGATGAAAGACAGGACAGTTCTGTACTTTGGCGACGCGATCTGGAAAGACCAGTAGTAGGGACCAGCGGATGTAGGCCATCGAGCAGCGAGTTCGCCTAGTGAGACGGCGATGCACTCGTCGAGAATGCAGACGATGATCCAGCCGAGAAACATGGTTAGTTGACCACCGCCGTAGACGGAGTTGATGAGCGGTGCACCGAAGCCATAGGGGATCTATCACTGTTTAGCAATTGAGATAGCATAAAGAGGTTATAGGAGACTTACAGCGGCGATTGCTAATGACTGGAAAAGAAGTGTAAACATTGATCGGTTACGCTTGAGTTCGGGCTTGTACCCAAGGGCCGTCAGGTCCGCAGCATCGCCGGCGTCACCAACAGCGTGATCATAGTTCTTTGCCTGCTCATGATCACTCCCCTTTTCTGATACACCTTTCTCTGCGTTATTCATATCGACGATAGCAACAAATAGCAATTAGATATGATATGATGGAACAGGCAGAACTGAAGTTGGTGTTGACGTTGACATAAAACGTGCGGCGGTAGCATTGTATTATAAACGAGACACACACACTCACTCACACACCCTTATCAAGAAATTAAACCTTCTGTGACGCCTCCTAACACAGTGATATCACGAGCATCCCCCCCTTCCCCAGATTCCAATTCTAGCCGGGACATTTTTGCCTAGAATGTGTTAGTGGATTGTAGCTATCACGGGCGCTGGTTTACCCCGCGCGCCGACCAATCCACTGGGTTTCTGCACGGTAACTCAACCCTGATAAGGAATGGTCCGTGTCGGTGACAAGATAAGAAATCCCAGTATCAACCCTGCGAGGAGTGTTTGTTAGTGTAACCGTGTCTCTGATGGTGGGCGCAGCCGAACGGAATGTGGCTGCCAAGACGGGAAGTTCGATTGACCATCACAGGGATCTTGGGTGATGTGCCGGGCATGATATGAGTCTGAGTCTGAGTCTGAGGCTACTGCCTGAGGATGGAGTCTAAGAGTAAGGAATAGACTTGTTTAGACTGGGTATCGAATTGGTATCGAACTAAGCAATTAAACATAGAGCTACGTTTGGCCTCAAATCTAACCAAATACAGTCTCGTACTTTAAATCATCCATCACATCAAGCCAATGAATAGACCCCGGCACTGTTTCACAATCATAATACGACCACACTGCCTGCAGTAACTCCCGCAGCACAACGATCGGCCCAGCAGCTGGACCATTGCCAAACCCTTTCAGTCTCTCGACGATAAACTCACGCGCCAAATTGACGTCTGTAAAATGTTTCTGGTTAGGTTCTTCAGTCAGCAAGCACTCATCTGTGGTGGCGTCTAGGAGCTCTAATTGCGGTGGCTTTTCCTCAGCGCATACCGTCTTACACCGCAATCCTGAGCCGACTCCGAGACACAGCAAGGGTTGCAGACATCGGATCGACGAGGCAGGGATGTTGGATAAGAGGCCTGTGATGTGAAGGGCGAGTGACGTGGGCCATGTAACTTGTGTTACACTCCCGTTGATCCTCTCGGGAAGTCTTCTCGACACAAGATCGGGAAATGTTTGGTACAGCTGCAATAATGAACAGAGTCGAAAGACCTCTGCAGCGTGGTGTAAATCGAGATTAATCTGGCCCTTGTTCGTATAAGCATCTGCCGCGTCGCTAATGAGCTTTGGCACTTGCACGGACAAGAGCGTCTCTTCGAGGATTTGCGCTTCATTAATGTCGATCATTGTCTGCCACATAACCTCATACGTCGGCGCAGTGCAATTTCGCCAAGTATCCCGAGATCGGCGACACAGCGACATTGACTTTCCAAACAAAGCAATTATCTTGGGCGGAACACCTGTCCAGGGATGAAGAACAAAGTCATATGGTGGATACGTTGCTGGCGTCCATTCTGTGAGCGTGCGGATGTCATCTTTGGTGCTGGTCACGATGCTGCGGACGGATTCTTCGTAAATCAGGCATTCTTTGAAGAAGCCGACTAGACTTTGGTCTTGTTTTGAGAGGTGCTCGGATCGCATTTCAAGTAGGGATAGTATTACGCGCACGTGGCGTAGATATTGCAGACCAAGTTGCTTATGGTCCATCCAGCAAAGCGATGAGCTCAGGCAGAAGAGTGATATGATAAGCGCATGAGGTATTGTGGTGACACTATTCGGCGACGCGAAGAGATCTTTGAGTTCCTGGATTATAGCCTCGGTCGCTATTCGTGGGGCCGATGCAGCGATTTCCTGGATCTGAGGTTGTCGTCGTGTTAGAGAAGCAGCTGCCATGCTCTGAAGCGAGTAGAACAATGGCCTTGAGGAACCCCAAAGGGAGGATCCTAACCGCCGGAAAGGATTGGTCGGGGAGTCGTATGCTGCCCATGAGCCGCAGACAGATTTGAACCAGAGCTCTATCAAGAATGTTGATGGTTCAGAAATGGTTGTTGGAGTATTCATTGCTTTATAACATGATGAGCGTCGTCTGTAGAGAGCGATGGCTTGATCGTCGGATTCTTCGGGGGTCTTCGGTGTTGGGTCTTGGGGGAGTAGTATGAGAGGCATGTTGTTCGAAGACGTCGTATTATCCGCGACGTTAGATGGTGTCAATGATGAGCGCCTTCGAGAGGTGTTGCATGACTGGCCACAGTTCCTAGCTGCACTGGCTGGACTCTTAATGTCCTTGTCTTGTTGACATACAAGACTTGAGTCGGTAGGTAAAGATGCAGGAATCAATGGCACCGTGGCAGGACTTGAAGCCTGTTGCGAAGTGGTAGATGACCGTCTGCTCTGAGGTGGAGATACCGTCACATCAGAGCCACGACGTTGAACTGACTCAGACGCAGCAAAGATGAGTTGGTTGAAACCAGGAGGATCACTCGTCTTGTCCTTTCGCCGCTCATATTTGGTGGACCACTTGAGAGTTTGCTGATAGCCCGGACAAGCAATCTTCCTCGCAATACAATTATTACAGCTAGGCTTGCTCTCATCACACTTGAGCTACAGATCACACCACAGCATTAGTGAGAATAGGGTAAGCTGCTCCGGATATTCTTACCCTTTTGCTCTTGCAGGCCCTGCAGCCAGAGCGGGACTTTGCTTGACCTTTCATAATTGCTATTACATGAGGAGAAAAGCTAAGGTGAGAAAAGCTCCACGAGGTTTGCTACGTAAAAGAGCTGTTGACCAGCTGCTCTTGGCGCGAATCCACCCCCGGATTTCACATCCTGGCACGTACCGAGGAGCCAATAGGAGGGGAACCATTGACGATGGAGATCGGCGTAGCTTGTGGGAATGAGGCTATACCCAAACAAGATAAAAAGTCCCTGGTGCTATCTACGGGACAAGCGGGGTTGTCTATCTCTCTGATAGGAATGCAGTGATCATGAGGACACTGAGATAGGACCTTGATAACTGATTGTTGCGCGTTAAGTTGGTCATGGCGTGTCGAGATACCCTGAATGGTAAAGTTAGCCCTTCGAATCTTGGCTTTACATCTGTGACAGCGACCAAACTGTCGGATATCGCATGGGCTTATCTTGGCACATCCAATTCGCAGGCGTCAATAATCAACTAATGCAACTTAACAGCACGTGGTAGT